AAGTACAAACACATCAAATTCGCCACTTTTACTTGTATCTGTCTTGAGAGGAAGCGTTTTCGCTAAACCCTCACTACGGTGCTACACTGAACCAATATAACATATTCCTGTTATGTGGAAGTAACTTTTTATGATCGTCATATGAGAAATGAAAATCGGTCATATTATAAGAATTAACTGAAATGGAGTTGAAACCCATAAGCATAAGCTTTACTTTTCACTACAATATCATATACATGTCATAAATCAATTTAATTAAAATGTACATGAAACATTGTCTGTTCCCACCCACCCATGAAATTTACTTCTTGTTTTGACACATATATTTTATCGGTTCTAAAAATAAATCGAAAAATAAACATCAGGCAGTGGGAGGTGGTGTTTCTAGTGCCTTCACAGTTGCGTAGCTGATTTGGGAATCGATCCAGGACTAGTGAGGTGTGATGCTTTTGGTGTCTTTGCTCGGTTCCACTAGGCCACGGCTGACTTCGAGGTAGAGCTTGCAGGCGCATATAGAGCTCGCAGAGATAGGCTGACTTCGAGATAGAGATAGCATGAAGTAAGAACAGCTCTCCCGACATGAAATGTAGTGCAACGTTATGCTCGTTTTGCTAGAGTGAAGAAAAATAGTACTGACAAATTTATGTTCCGTTTCGGTGGTTTCGTTTAAAATCTTTCTTAATGTTCCTGTGTGCAATAAAACAACGACTTAATTATATGAGCTCATGGAACTGGTTCATGAAGTTCCAGTTCTAGTGCTGGAATCTGAATAAGCCGTGTAGAAAGCTTAAAATTACAATCTTAGCAAAGTAAATATTGCAGTTTAGTAAAGGGTGTCCACGATGAAATTGCCACACTATGAAATTGCTCTAACTTTTTAACCGTTGGGTAGAATTTAATGAAAATTTGGGTGGATTTAGTTCATAGTGCATTATTTACATCCTGCAAGTTTTAAAGTCCTGTGATCAAAACTCGCGGAAATGGAGTCGAAAGAACAGCTCGTGCGTGATAAAATCTTGCGCATTCATCACGAGAACAAGGATCTCTCGCATCGTTCCATCGCTAAAACGTTGGGAATCGCGAATTCCACGGTGTCGCGAGTGATTAAGCGGTTCGAGGAACGGTTGACCACCGATCGGAAGCCCAGAAGTGAAGGAAAAAGTATTCCGTACAACACCAAAAATCACAACCGCGTAGTTGGGCCTTCAACCGAAATCCGAACGCCTCCGTTAGAGATGTGGCTAAGAAGCTGCACCTAAGCCGAAGTTTTGTCCAGAAGGCCAAAACTAAGGCTAGGCTTCGAACGTTCAAGGTACAAAAGGCCCCTAATCGCGACGAGAAGCAGAACAAGTCCGCCAAAACCCGTGCCAGGAAGTTGTACCTCAACATGCTGACGATAGTTGAATTCTGCATCATGGACGACGAAACATATGTGAAGGCCGACTTCAAACCCCGGCAACCTGTTTTTCACGGCCAAGGATAAGTTCAGCGTTCCGGAGCATGTCCGCACTCAGAAGATGTCCAAATTTGCGAAGAAATTCCTGGTTTGGCAAGCCATCTGCACGTGCGGGAAGCGGAGTGCACCTTTCGTGACCCAGGACACGATGAACGGACAGGTGTACATAAAAGAGTGCCTCCAGAAGCGGCTGCTTCCTCTCCTGAAGGCCCACAACGTCCCAACAATCTTCTGGCCGGATTTGGCCTCATGCCACTACTCCAAGGACGTGCTGAAGTGGTATGCGGACAATAAGGTCAATTTCGTGCCGAAAATGTTCAACCCTCCCAACACTCCGGAGCTCCGCCCCATCGAGAAGTACTGGGCGATTATGAAGCAGCACCTTCTTAAACGACCTAAGGTAGTGAAGACAGTCGAGGAACTGAAGAAAGTATGGGTTTACATGCAAAAAACGGTTGATTCACAGGTTGTGCAGAATCTTATGGCCGGGGTTAAGGCCAAGGTGCGGGCATTTGCGTATGGACTGTAAATAAAATACGAGTAAAATGGTAAAATTAAGTTTAATAGTTATTTCTCAATCCCTGAAAATTTGATGGCAATCGGATGAAAACTCGAATTTTGCGAATCAATTTTGTGTGTGGCAATTTCATCGTGGACACCCTTTAGAATATTTTTTTCTTCAATCTCAATACATTCTTCTCCAGAACCTCTTATCTTATGGGACAATAGCAAGTAAAGATTATTCAGCACAGTACTCGATACAGTATCATTGTTGTTAGCAATATTCAGTTCGACTAACAATTAGTGTACGATATCGTGTAGTTTACGTGCATCGTTGAAAATTATTTCGATAATTTATGCAGAACAATCATATAGGGTAAACGCTCCTTCCTCCTTGCGGTACGTTAGAAGCGTTAGGTTCCTATAGTTGTGCATGGAGATTCAATACACAACTATAGGAACCTAACGCTTCTAACGTACCGCAACTATAGGAGCGTTTACCCTAATATGTATTTTATTGGGAGCGATATTCATCCCAAAAATCATTCCAAAACAAATGTTTGCTGTTAGATTTCTTAAAAGGCAAATATATATGACTATATAATTATTAGGATAGATCTGTTAACAATCTTCAAACGTCAAAAATCAAAGGAATCTATTGAAGAATCAAACTGACGATTGACTCACTGATTGCGAAATGGGTGAAAATGGTAATGACGTTTTGATATCTGTCAAACTGCATGATTTTTTTTTTGTACATCATCATTTTTGTAATTGCGGATCTAAAAACTAGGTGTCGCATGACCAGCTTTGCTTTTGCTTTGATTGACCAATTCCAATGAGATATGCATGTTTTCCTATAGTGCACACTTAAATGACTGTCCAATAGTTTGTACATGTCTAGTTATACGCGATACATCAACAAACTTCAATCATCGTTAAAAGCAACTCCAATAAAATATACATATATGAATTTCCATTAGTTTCTAGATGTCTGTTCCCACCCATGACATATCAACAGGTTTTCACCATAAAATACATCGGACAATATTTATATACATCTTATCCATCACTAACCACGTTCGAAGTAAAGGAATGCCATGTACTGTATGTGAAATTACTATAGAAATCATACCATATCACAGTCATAGTTTTTAAGTGATGATCCAATGGAATCTATCAATCATCACATAGATGAATAAATCTTCTGACATTGCTATGTTATAAGATGGATCCAATAAACCGTATATGTCGATTTGTTTCAGTGTAACTTCTTACCACCGACAAACCGACATGAATGACCATAGCAAAAACAATAAAATTTCTGACCAAAGCACTAAGAGATGAACTAGCCTATGGCTAAAAATCTCTCAAATAAAGAAAAAAAAAAAAAATGACCAAAGCACACTACTGACGTTATCAATAGATTTAAAATCTATCGATAAATTTCTGAGCAGTTATTTTTCAAACATTGCCAATTTGCCGTTACATATTTTACCGGAAGATCGTGTTCGGAGTGTTAAGAAATGACTCATTGCATGTGTTGAAATCAATTTTACTTTTATCGATTTAAATAAATACAATGAACCATTTCATTAGGAGCTAACAATTCTTGCGAAATGTGCAAGTTCTAAAGATGGAGATCGTGATCAACAATTGGGTTGTTTAACTTCGAAAAATATACCAATTTTTATATATCATCTGATAGAGCTTCGTATATTTTCATCGATCCCGTAGACATTCATCTCGATTTTTAAATCAAGATTTAAATTTTTGATCGTTGACACTAAATCTATTCGTTGACAGCTCACTCCCATACAAAGTCCCACCAAGGGGCGCTAAGATGGTGATTTTTGCTAATGTAATCGTACTTATTTAAAATAGTTCCAATGTGTTTATCTCAATACACCCAATCCAATTATCCAATTATGTGTGCAGCTCTCAATAAATCACATCATCGAAGTAGAATTAAATGGTCATTTCTACCTCTAGTGATTGTGGCCAAAATCTTTTCAATTCGAACAAAATTAAAATCACTTCTTGTTTCGAATGACGACAGTCGATACACATGATCGCCTTTAAGCGACCAATCCAACTGATTGCGTATGTTTCAATTCCAAACCAATCAGTCATATCGGAAGAAGACCCCTTCCATCCCATTCATACAACATCAATTTAATCGCAATCAGCGAATCATCCGCTTAAATCCGGCCGTCAAAATAATACCTAACCATTCACGAACAGAAGAAGAAAAAACTCATTGTCAATTTAACATGGTAGAGCTGAACCGAGAGAGAGAAAGCAAAAATTAATCATTTATGTACGGGTTAAAAATCGTGCTGATGCTCCCTAACCAGCAACTACCAAGAGGTATTTGCAGCAAGTACAGTGACAAGTGGTTTTGATTAATTGTGTTTTGTTTGGGTTGAAAATTTCTAATTTCTTATAATTATTTATGAGTTATCATGAGCAAGCTGTTTTCGTCAGTGCCTACCTACTGAGTTGAATAAATTTGTGCACATTAATTGCATACTATCATCCCTAAGTCTTTATACAAGACCAGTTCTGGAAGTCTGCCTCATTAATTGAAGCTTCTAAATGCCCACATTCGGAAAACACTCACGCATTTGCGATGAAGTTCCTATTTCGGGCATGTTTGCAACCTCCAAATGATTCTTCGCACCTTTTCGTATTGAGAGTGTAGGCTGGTCTCAACTCGATGGAAAAATCGATACTCCATCAGCAGTGTATAGCCGGAAAAACAGCGCGTGTTGAGTGAGGAAACTTCCGCTCCATGTTTGAGAAGGTAGTGAACAAAAAATGCTTTTCCATCTCAGCATCCATCGTTTTGTTGGTCGAACTCCTCCTCCTCGTCCCTGCTAGTCGCAGTCTACTAGATGGACAGACAGCCGCCTTTGCCGAAAACATTGAACTTCTCCACGCACGTGCGAGGTGTGAGACAGCTACTGCTGCATTCTCAACCGATAAGTTGCTCCCTAAAAATAGCACCGGCTGTTTGTTCTATTCTTTGCCGTATACTCACATTCTTTGCGGCGATGAAGATGATGATTCAATTAGCGATGTCACGAGCAGCCCGTAAACTAAAGCAGTTGCTATTGGCGACGCCTGATCAGATGTTTGCACCTATATCCGATGGAATTGCACACTCACAGCAAAAAAGGTAACACACAGACCGAACCGATCAAAGCAAGCGTTTACCGAAACTCTACTGGAGGCCAAACTGAACCGTTCACGATTTCTCACAAGACTGATGGGGCTTGTTGGCTCGATGGCAGTAGGCGACGACGTTCTCCCGCTGCTCGACGTTCGCGCACGACGCCAACCAACGGTCCCAACGAGAGAAGAGCACGTGAGAGTCCTACTACGGCGTTGACGCATAGCCCCCCGAAAAAATAAATATCGACGCTCTCAAGGAAAACAACAAGTAAAGCTCTCTGTCTGGATGGCGACGTCGACGATTCGTGCATGTTTAGTACACTGCTACCTATTTGCTTTTTCGTGGAAAAGCTCGAACCAAAGTATGCTTTGAAACTGAGTGTGCTTCCATCTCAGTTGGGAAGAGAGAACTTGGGTGATACAATTTGAACTGAACCGCAGTAGGCATTGCTGGGGTTGGCCCATCATCAGTCAACAGCCCATGATCACAAAGCACTATTGTTAACAATTTGGCATTGTCGTGTAAGTGAGTTAAGTGAGTAGCAAAAATGGCTGTAAACGTGTATAGTACCAGTGTTACGACGGATAATCTGTCCCGGAAAGAAATGTTAGCATGGGTTAATCGAACCCTGCTGTCGGAGTTCAAAAAAATCGAAGAACTATGCACAGGTAGGCATGTTTTTTATTCCTACCGCCATCTCTAATGAATGTTCGTTTACCACTCAAAGGCGCCGCCTACTGCCAGATGATGGACATTCTCTTCCCTGGGAGTGTACCGCTGAAACGCGTCAAATACTGCACCAATCTGGAGCATGATTTCCTGAACAATTTGAAAATTTTCCAAAATACGTTGGTCTCGATGCAAGTGGAGAAAGCGGTCCCGATCGATAGGCTAATCAAGGGCCGCTTCCAGGATAACTTTGAGTTCCTGCAGTGGTTCAAGAAGTTTTTCGACGCCAACTACGACGGAAAGGAGTACGACCCGGTTGGAGCACGGAATCACCATTCGATGGCATACGGTACGCCGAACACGCTGCGACCCAATCAGCGGGCAAACGTCAGTGGTGGACCGAAGGGGACTGGAAGTGGTTCCGGTGGCGGTGGTGGTGGGTTGAAGACGACATACAAATCCGGTGAAAAGAAGACCACTCCTGAAATTAAAATATCGGGTTTGTTATAAAACTAAGTTTGTTTTCAGTTTGTGAAATCTTCAATTTTTATCTCTTTGTTCCACAGCAGAGTTGATGGAGCAAGTGCAAACTCTGATGCAGGAACGGGATGATTTAACGCTCAAAATGGAAACCGCTGAGCTGGAACGGGATTACTACTATCAGAAGTTGACCTTGATCGAGACCCTGTAGGTTGACAAGCGCTTTGGACAGATTTTGCTTACGTTTATTGAAACTCTTTCTTTCAGAATTAACGATGACGATAACGAACTGCATCGGGACCTATGTGATCGTGCAAAGGAAATCATGTATTCGGAAGAATGAGATTTTTAAGAAGATTGGTCTGCTTTTGTGAGTATTTTTAATTGGTTGCGCATAGTTTAATAAATTTAGATGTGTTAAGGATTTTTACTGAAATACTTGTTGCTAATGTTGTAACCAAGTAACAAACCCGCTTATTCGCCTTTTTGCAATATAACGCTAATATGCTTCTAATATAAAGCTTAACATGCCCTATGTTAGGCATGTATCAGCCTTATATTGCAAAAAGGCGAATTAGCGGGCTTGTTGGTTACTTGGGTGTATCCTTGGAGAGTCACAGTCTCATTGTTACAGTTCGCGATTTCACAAGTCAAAATATAATGGTTTTGTGAAGGTACGTAAAGACTATAATTGGTTGTTTTCTGCATTCCATTTTATTTTGACTGCGGAGGAACATAAAATGTCCGAAATTTCTGATCCTCTTGAATCTTGAGATTTGATTTCTTAAAATTGTGAGGTGTGATAGGAAATGGTACCTTAGGCCACTGACTGCCTTTAAAATCTATAAATTGCTACAGAAACCAACAGAGAAACCTTTTCGTCAATGTGCAAAATAATGCTGTGAAGTACAACACAAATGGCCAAATGTAGTTTAAATGAATGTTAGTAAATGTGACAACAATATTCGGCCGTTCCTGAAATCGTAAACTTGGATCACATGTACAGCTGTAGCTGTCATTTTCAGTTGTTGTCTAATTTATCCTCACAGAGTGCTGGGATCCATCGAGAATAGTGTGTTGATTATTAGTGAATGCAGCTCAGCCGTATCATCAGCATGGTGGCCCGACACAATGCCAATGACTGGCCGTAAACCTCGAAGAAAAGCATCCCCGAACGCATCTGATGTTCTTGCTCCGATGGAAGTCAAAGGTGGTGTTGATTTGTTGAGCTGAAAGTGTGTCGATTCCATCTGCTGGATGGAGATCTGCTTCTTGTTTGGGGTGTGGGTGAAACCTGCAACAAGTCTTTCGTTGTTTTCCTTTCACTTCCTCACTCCATTTAAAATATTGGAAATTATTTTAATGTTGATATTTAACAGCCCATCAACCATGTTCCCGTTTTCCAGAATAGGTTCCCGATACCAAGCACAACTCAAGAACATAACTAGATAGAGCTGGAATAAGGGCCTAACAGTTTGTGTAAACAATGACTTCTATCGATGATTTCTAGGAACTCAAGGCACGCCCACACAGACGATTATAACCATCGGATAGGGGAACTCTTTCCCTACCCGATGATGATGTTGGTTTACGTGGGCGAGCCTTGAATTTCTAGAAATCATGGATAGAAGTAATTGTTTACAAAAGCTGTTAGGCACTTATTCCAGCTCTATCTAGATAAATCACTTTTACCACAACTAGAACATGATATTCAGAACAGAGTTCACGATTCTATGACTTTTATTGACTTTGCTGGTGTCCGGTACGCCATAACGCAGGCGTTACGTTTACTTTGTGGAACAATGTTCACCATGACATGATTTTGATTCATGATGTACTTTCGTAAACGAAAAATCAGCCCAGTGGCAAGCGCGTAGGCAACATGTCATACCGTGACAGCGGGCCCAGCACAGCAAAATAAATAATTTGAGCCCGGGACATGCTGCCTACTGTCAAACGCTGCTGTTGGTATAGACCTTGTCACTGGCCTGCGAAAAATTGACTAGTTCCGATATTCGTGACTTAAGGTTCACGAATTTCGGAACGAATTTTTTTTTCACGTGCAGGGTTGCCACCGAGCCGGGAAAACCGGTAATTTTTTTTTCCTTGATTTGTTTTCCGTTGATCTTGTTTTCCATGCTGAGCACCAATGCTACCGACGCCAGGGAGGCAGCTCCCACACCTGTACCCTATCGACCCATCAACTCATGGACCGGGGACAAACGGCTTTACTTCCCTTCCGAAGGAAAAGGAAGGCGTGATCAGAGATGTTGGCGGAGTCGACTTGGATTGAACCCAGGCCTGCTGGGGTGAGAGGTTATCACGCTTACCACTACACAACCGGCGCCGCTAAACCGGTAATTTGAAAAGTAATCGGGAAAACCGGGTAAAACCCGGGAATTCGATGGGAAAACCGGGAAACATTTATCTTATTCATTCGGTCACTTAAATTGTTACACTATTGACTCAGTTTTGACAGCCCCCTCCGCACATCTGACTATTATCATAGAGGTAACTCTAAGACCACTGGGTCCCGAAGAAAATCATTATTATTTTTGGCTCACTCAGTACCAGAACAACGGTCCCAAGCAGTCCCAAGCTATTTCACTCACCCCTGCATGTTCTGCATGAATCCACACACCCCTGATGTTATCTGTCAAACTTTCATAGCGAATCAAAACAAACATAGTGTAGTAATAGAATTTCAACTAGAATAGGGTACGTTAATCGTTTGCTTGGGACCAATAGGCTACTAAAGTGGTGAGCCAATTTAAAATCGTTAGTTTCGTATTGATTGTTGCTATTATCTTTCAATCCAAATCTTTCTCAATCATCTTCAAGATGGATGTTTAAGGTTTACTTTGGTGCAATAAGACCATTGAAAAAGTACGAAACCCATGTCAAACATTAGAAAACAATTTCAAAAAGGGGGCTGACAAAATCGGGTCATTACTGTAGCTTTATTTTTATTTTCTATGAATGAACAATTTTATTATTATGAATAATGTTTTTTTTTTTCTGCACAAGACTATTGAAAATTAAACTTAAGAATTCGTTGTGATCCCTGAGCCATGCACGGACTTGAAATGGTTGACATGAAGGGCCAAAAACGGATGGATGGATTGATAGGCGATTCGCCTATTTATCTCCTTGGGACAGTTAATAATCTCCTTCCAACAACTTAATGAGTCAATTGGTCAGAAAACGAGCCATCCAACAGGAAGATGCCCCAATGAATGGGAAGAAGAGCCCGCCCTTTATCCACGAAATGTTAGCAACAGAGAGTTGACATTTTCACTCTCCCCATCCAAATCGCTTCAATTGGGTTCCCAGCATTTATTGGTTTATGTAGTTTTAATTTTATATTTTTATAAGGGTCATTCCAGGTCAAGTGGGTACACCACCTGTGGTCGATGTCACCTATTTGAGCCAAACTTGGCCAAAACTCTTGTTTTTGAGATATGACCATATGAGCGAGAGGTAGTTTTGAGTTTTTATGGTGATTATTTTTTATTAAATTTCTTCACGCCGATGGCACAATAATATTTTATGTTATTTTTCACATGTTCTGGGCAGGATTCTCATTATATGAAATCATAACTAGCTCATTTATTTACTTCTGCCCATAATTTAATTGTGTGTGTGTGTGTATTCCCCACTGGTCGGCAGTGTTATTATGGAAGAACTCTCTCTAAAATGTCGCATTTATGGTCATTGTAGACAGCTTTAGTCCGGGAGTTAGAAGGTGATAGGTCTATTGCAGATCCAGCAACTCATTTCAGAATGTTTGGAGAGTCACGCCCATTCCGAGGTTACTTTCACTCACAATAAGCCCCGCATGTATGCATCACCGTTAATGGATATTGGTTATATATACACACACTTCCAGGTTCGAAAATATTATTTTCAAACCTGGCATGTAGGGTTAACTACCCCATTTCCGGCCTATTAGGCACAACCCGCACTTAGTCTTTCTTAATCTAGCGCAGTTTAGCACCAAACGGAATGTTATTATTACTGATGGCTTCCAAATTTGTTTACTTTTCCGTACGTACCGCAAGATTTGATAAAGAGAAACCAATCGTTGAGATATCGTTAAAAGTCTAACACTGCTTCTTGACGCCAAACTCGGCCTATCGGATGAAGATAAAAATTGATTCGGTCGGAGCGCTTCTTTTGTTTTTGGGAATTATGTGTGCAAACCTTCATATCACGCGTTCTCATTGACTTCGTTCGGTAAGTTATGAGCTAAAGTATCGTACTAAACGCATAATTGACTTTTTAACTCTGAAATCATGGATGTATTTGAAGTTTTCTGCTCGATTGGCCCAAAATGGGCTATTAGGCCGAAGTAGTTCTCTGCCCTATTTAGTTTAATTTTGATATTTAAGGTGATACTCTAAGGAAGCCTTAGCTTCCACAAAACATACAAATTTGAAATTGCTACTCTCTGCTTGTAGTAGGACAGCAAACAAGGAGTAGCAATTTCAAATTTGTTTGTTTTGTGGAAGCTGAGATTTGTGCCTTTAAAGTTTCACGCTAAGGCTTCCTTAGAGTATCACCTTAATTTGGACAGCTCTCACCATATTCTGCTCTTCCGCCGCCGTTAATTGCTTCTTTTGGAATCCCTTAGAGTTTTTCTCTAACGCTTCGTATTTTATTCCGTGCTTCACCGGAAATTTCCTGCCGTAGATCGTCCTTGGTTGATTCTAACATTATTCCGCCTTTTCCGGGCTTTTCTTGTTTACCGAGGGAGATAAATCCGCACTAATTTCCGTTCCTGGTTCGATGTTGACTCCTTCCTCGCTGGTTGGTGTGGTCGGTTTCATGTCCACCATCTGTCACTGAATTGCCATGGTGATCTGGGACGAGGCTCACGTCCACAGTCGCTGGTCCACCGAGCGCTCCGTGTGCGAAAAGAGAATGAAAGAAATACGAAAGGGATCAGTTTCAAGAAGTGACAGTTTCATCAGATTCCCCAACTAACTATACTCAAGTAAAGTAAGAATATACAAGCTATATTGCGACTATATGTTTTTTTTCCCCTCTGTTCGGGGCATGAAACTACTGCGACCAGTAATTTGATCTATTAATCATGTTTTGTTGTTATTGACATCATCCACATCCAGAGGGCCAGTCACTTCGAATGTATGGGAATTGTAGGAAACTATTTGGGAATGCATGGAAATTTTCAGTTTTTATTCATTATCGTCATTATGGGCAGTTTTTAGTGCACAAAAATTGCACGAGTACATTACTATGGTGATAAGGTAACATCTCGTTTATTTGTTTTCTTCTGTGAAAGCATGTTTAGTCACAAATCGTGGATTTTTTGATATTCTTCATACTGCAAAAATGATTTTCCTGCCACTGAAGGGGCGACATCTCTCGGATCTTCAGTATAGCTACTACTCAAATCATATAATTAATTGTAGTATATCCCGTGTTCTTAGTTTAGTGCATGTCGTATTACTCCATCACTATTGAGAAATGATGAAGTATTCGGTTTTGATACAGTTGTCATTCTTGTTTTCATCGCAAGGAATCAATTCTAATTGAAAGGTCCCACTATTTATAGCCTTCGGAGTGTTGAAACACCCTCCAAAGGCGCGCCCCTTTGTCAGTCAAAATTGGATTATTCCTTAGCAACAAAAACTAACAAAGATACCGATAATGACCATGCATCAGAACCCTAGTCTTAACCACTTCAAACTAGGGAACAACGAATAGAAGTTTAGGAATCATATAGGTGAAGACTAACTAACTCATTTTTTTCCTTGTTTCAAGATCATCCTCGGTCCAGGCAACCCGAGGACTTATCACTATCAATAAGGCATAAAAAAGTAACAAGGACTATGATGTGTTTCTTTGATTACTGAAAAATCCTGTTCCCCTAGTTTGAAGTAGTCAGGACTAGGAATCGGTGGTAGATCTTACATCCCGTAACGTACCACGAAAAGGTGATCTACCCACGTTACGGGGCGAGTATATGGTTACTTGGGTACTCATATGGCCGTCAAAATGGTTCATCGGTTGCGAAATGAAGTATTTCTGAAAGTGATGCATTATATTTCTCAATGTTTTGATTTTATCTTAACGTTACCTCAATGTTATATCACAGACAAGCAGACACAACACATTGAACTCAACAGATGACTGTAGTGTGTAAACGTCAAACGCTAGGGAATTGATTATGTGCACCGCAAGTGGCGGTACTACCAACTAAGAAACATTTAAATTGACCGTTAAAAGCGATTTAGATGAACATTTTAAGATTTTTATGTCTGCTTGTATGTGATAATACCTTCACTATCGCAACTTCGGGTAATCCGCGAAAGTACTTGCATTTTTCTCAGGCACTTTTGATCTAAATGCAATCACTCTCTCAAACTCGAAATGTGCCACGACCAATTTGGCACAACGACGCCCTATACGCTCCCTGACTGAAGTGCAGGGTCTGTCCATAATTCCGGGGAACTTTGAGATTGGGCGTAATTGCTTTTGTAAACAAACAAGTCAATCGCCGATTTCTCTCGAATAAACGCTCAATCTTGCAAACAAACTATACCAAATGGTAGAAGAATCATTCATCTACCTGTTTGTGTTGTTAATTTTTAAGATTGAGCTTTAATTCGCGAGAAATCGGCGATTGACGTGTTTGTTTACAAAATCAATTACGCCCAAATCTAGAAGTTCTCCGGAATTTAATTGTGGTCCTAAAAGTGAAAAATACGTTCCTATGGGATACAGTCAAAATGTTGATGCAATAAGATAGATTAGCAGGTATATAAAATTTCAGTTGTGGATGACGATTCGGGACGTGTCCCAGAAGGTCAATTCTTCCGTCTGGTTCGTCCAGCAGACAATGAAGCGGGCCAGACTTCATGTCTTCAAGGTAAGGAAGGCGCCTAACCAAACTGATAAACAGAATACGGTGGCCAAATCCCGCGCCAGGAAGCTGTACCGCGAGTGGTTGGTGCAGCCGAAATGCATCGTAATGGACGACGAGACCTACTTTAAAGCGGACGCCAAGCAGATCCCCGGCCTGGAGTTTTTCGTCGGCAAGTCCCGCCTGGATGTTCCGGAGAAGTTCCGGAAGAAGAAAGTCGACAAATTTACCAAGAAGTACTTAGTGTGGCAGGCGATCTGTGGGTGCGGCAAATTCAGCAAGCCGTACATAATGACCGGCACCATCAACGGCCAAATATATAGAGAAAAATGCCTCCAGGAGCGTCTGCCATCCTTTCTCCGGTCCCACCAAGGTGACAATTTGTTTTGGCCGGATCTGGCATCGTGCCATTACGCGAAACCAGTTATGGAGTGGTACAAAGCCAAATTCGCCAGAACTTCACCCAATAGAAAAATTCTGGGCTATTATGAAGGGCAAACTCTGTTCTCCAGGCCTAAAAAACGACAAGGATTTGAATAAAGAATGGATGAAAGTGTGTTAGAAGGTGCGGACATTTCGCCTAGGAGAGGAGGTTGAATAAACCAACTATGCAAAAACATACCTAATATGTGTTTATTAGCTGCGACTGAGAGTTTCAAAAATATCCGAATTAGAATGAATTTTTTGAGATCATTTTACATGATACAGTCTTTATAATTTATATATTTATAGATTTATAAATGATTCACGATTAGAATTAGAGGATCTTATAATTTCTTCATGAAATAGTGACGATCGCTATCGATTTTTATTATGAATGGCTATATCAAAATTTAAAGAAAGTAGGTCGTCAATCGTCAACCTGCCCTTTCATATTTTTGTAAATAATCAACTTGGTACAACTTTCCTGAAGAAAGTATGTAGCTAACTATTACCTGTAATTTTATACAGTCAGAGAGACGTCCATATAAAAATTATTGAACTTTTTACGATGTTTCTTAACACTAGTCTTAGTAGAGGAGGGGACCGAATACTTACTCGAGGCTACGGGCACCAACCTATTTAGGCCTATTCTGCGCGGCGTGTGAGGGGACGTGAAGTGACAATTGTCACCTTGGGTGAGGTGACTCTCCATTTGATTTGCATGGAGACTCACGTCACCCGAGGTGACAATTCTCGCGTCACTTTTCAAATAGATCAATGTAACAAATGTAAACAAATAGAGTTAAGCGATACAAACTATTGCTTTTCTATCATTGTATGTGATACAAACACATCCATCCAAATTTAATTTCATTTATTTAATCATAGGTCAAAAATTGTCCAATGTACAGTTTGAAATGATGGGTACATGATTGTTATTTCGGTCATTCGGACTGCCTAACATGATTGGTGCTCATTTTCTAAAGGCGGGGCCAACCTAAAGTTAGGTATTCTACGCTGAAATCTGTGAAAGGGATTCTAGTATCATGTAGACAAAACGTCCGTTTGATTATGTCAATGAGAAAAATCGTCCAATGTAACATGTCCGATTTGAACGGCGCCGGTGGTGTAGTGGTAAGCGTGATTACCTCTCACCCCAGCAGGCCTGGGTTCAATCCCAGTCGGCGCCGCCGGGATGTTCTGAGGCATAACATCTCTGATCACGCCTTCCTTCGGATGGGAAGTAAAGCCGTTGGTGCCCGGTTCATGAGTTGATGGGTCGATAGGTACCCAACTAACATTTTCAGCTTTGTAAGCCAACTTTTCCAGCGTTGTACTGTAAAGTAGCTGAAAAGAAGCTGCAGATACAGCTACAAGCAAAAGCTAGCAAAATAGTTTTGGAGAGCGTTTACTCAACTTTCTCACAACCATTATTCAATTTGTCAGTCGCACTGAATAACATAAGCCAATAAACGCTAATGTCACTTCTATACACACACTAATCAACTTTCAACTTGTAGCTGCAAAACAAAGCTAACAAAGTGAATATATTACTCATTTGATGGCTTCTAAACAACCAACCACTCTTGCTGAATAACATAAACATCAAAAGTGCTTTTTCAACAACTAAACAACCTGTACTCAGCTTATAAACTGTGTTAGAACAACTTCGGAAGCATTTTCACAGTCAACTAGGTTTATTTTTAGACGTGTGCAGTTTTACAGCTTTTACTCTGCTCTTTTATAACTAGTCGAGAAAAGTGATTCGTGTTCACTATTATAAAGCCTCTACTCAGCAATTTTGTTGTAGAAGGGAATGTTGATTTGTTTACATAAGTTCAAAGTGTTGGCGTAGCACAGTTGGTAGTGTCAAGGTTTGCCAAAGAGGTCGTCTCGAGTTCGATTCCAGGTTCCGGTGCAGGGTAAGTAATTTGGTGATGATTTGTAACTAATTTCGATTAATTTGATTCACAGCAAAATAAACTCAATAAATTCCTTCATAAAAAAAGCGTAAACAGTATTTAACCCGGCTTCAAGAGAAAGCTGTGTAGTGATTATTGGATAACCGGGAAAAGTTTGAATAAGCGCCTTTCAAGTTCACACACAACTAAACAGCAGGATAACAGCTGTATAGAAGCGTTAATGGATATGCAATAAGAGCTTCTCCCGACCGTTCCAACAGCCATAAGTAGCTGACTAAGTTCGCCAGATTTGCTTGTATAGAGGTTGAGTAAAGGTTTCCTCATATCGTATAACGTTTGAATACAGCTTGAGACTGTATAATTGAAATGAGTAAAGCGTTTACATTACGAAAATTGTTAGTTGGGTAAAAAACAAACCAAAGGAAACATGTCCGATGTACAACTTGACTAGTCAACATGTGGTTTTTTCTATAATGTAGCATGAAATTCAAAGTAAAATTGTGATTTTACCGTTTCTAATGGATTTTCAACGTTATTATTCACTGACTACATTCAAAATGGTATTGCAAACTGTATTGTTTCTAAACAGTTAAAATAATAATCTGTCGAACTTCAACTTCGATTTTCTCAAAATGGTGGATATGTTACATTGGTCTATTTGAAAAGGGACGCGAGAATTGTCACTTCACTGTCACCTCACACGCAGCGCAGAATAGGCCTAATTATCAACCAGGAAGGGGCTCAAGAAAATCACGTATACAGTTGTTTAGCCTCAGTAGAAAAAAAAACAAATCGACAGGATGTTCGGATCGTCTGTTATTTGCAAATTAGTCAATAGTTTTAATCATTTTTTCATATTTATTTCTCATCTCTTCCAATAAAATATTTTCCAATAAGCTTCCATTTCTTTTGTTTAATGAAGAATTGTTAAGAGCTAGAACTTTTTTTTTCTCACCTATAGTGTGTTTGCGTTTAGTTTCTTTTTTTTTTGTTTGTCTCAAAGAGGAAATTGGAGGAAAAAACAGCGCGGCTATCAATAATGCCTTGCCTGGATTCAAACGAACAGGCTAGAATCTAGAATTTACATCTTAGAGAATTTTGAATTCCGTACTCAAACAATCTTCGTCCGATTTTGCGGCGAGCAAAATCTTCTCAAACGTATACAGTTGATTTGACAGTGATAATAACGAGACGAAAACTAAAAGAAAAATAGAATCCTGACTGATTGTTCACTGTTCTCGTAAAAAAAAAATAATATAACACACCAGCATACATTCGTTTTCCGCATTGTTGTAAAATCTTACAAATTAGATTTGTTAAATTGCTAGTTGTCTTCTTTTGTTTAATAATTAACTGGAATAGTTAGACTTTTCAGGGACTAAATAAAAAATAATAGTGATGACTTTTGAAAAGTGAAAATTTCATTTGCTTTTCGCTGTTTGCTTCGAAATGGAATTCAGCTAGTGAGTTTGTGACTGTATGAAAATAAGTTTTAGGATGTTTTAAAGGGATTGGGCTGTGCAGCAACCATAAACTAAATAAATTTGAGCATTCTTAGTATTTATTTAGTCATGTTGTTGATTCGAGTGGAAGGGGGGGGGGGGGGGTGGGGGTGATTTGGGGCAAATTGCGAGAGGGACTACCATTTCTGCGATTTCTGTTCGGAAAAGCAAAAGAACTTAAACCTTTCAATTGATTAAACACAATCGTTTTCTTTTTGAGAGAAGTATTCGATAAAAGATAATTAAAGGGTGTCCTTTTCTTCAATAAACTTATCTAATTGTACGAATCGATTCGATCGAATCAGCACGTGTTTAACTTGTTTTCGTTTCTGTCGTTCAAATCGTCCTCTGGAATAGATTATTAAGCAGTACGTCTTTTAAAGTAATAATTACCACAGCCTTATCGACGAATGGCGAAAGTAAAACTATTATTCTGTTGTTCAGCAGATATATCCGTTTCTTGTTCTCCTTTGCTTCCATGCGATCTGGAAACTGAATTTAACGCTTGCGCCACACCTTCGTGCATAATGCCTTTCCTGCTGCTTGCCCTCTTCTGGTAATTCGATAGCATTGTTTGTAATTAATCTCCTTCGTTTACTGACTGGACAGTGATGGTGATGTATGTGTGTTTGTCTGTATGTACTGTACTATGTATACAACAAGTAAACAAGAACATTTACTAGCCTTTTTTTCTTTGTTTTGTCGCAGTGTCGTTTAACGTTAATCTAAATACAGCGTGGTAGCGTGACGCCAGAGAGACTAATTTCAAACATCGAACACATTAGTAACAGTATTTAAGTTTTGTATTTATTTATTTAACATGTTGTTGTTTTGTTTGTATGACTTTCCTATCAACATTTTCTTCTTTGTTGTTGTTTTGTTTTATATCGCTAAAGACATCTAGTGATTAGTTAACTGTTTTTTGTTTGTTTGTTTGTTTGTTGTTGTTATGTTTTTGCTCTCAAATTGAAATTCCAAATACCGCCGTCACGTGAAGAGGAGCTTTGGGGGTGCAGCACCTCGTTTCATTTTGTGTTGTTATCTGAAGTTGCATGAACTTCTCCTGCAGTTGACTATTTTTTTTTCGAAATCTTTATAACTGAAAAAAGCAAATCCAATTTAGAAATGTTCACACATTTGTTGGAATTTTTCTACATACAGGTGGTACCATCCACCCACCGCTGTTTCTCGCCTGTCCTTCATAAACAGACAATCAACCGAAAAATAGCGACGGGTGGACGGTACACCGCCCGCATATATCGTGGGACTACTGTATACTCAAAACCTACCATTTTACGATAACATTACACACCCTGTGCGTCTTACAAGTAGAGCGTCCCCTGTTGCCGATCGAACTGGTGCAGGTAGAGCTTCTTCTTCGATTTGTCTGACTTGTGCGGACGGAGGTCCCACACCAAATTCGAAAGACTGCGCGGTCGACTCAGGCGCCGGGTTTTCTTCTCCGGCAGTTTGGAATCGCCGGACGTTCGGCCACCGCTGCGGGACGAATCCAGGGTTCCTTCGCGCCCGGTACTGGCCGACTTGGAGAGCATGTGGTTCTTGTCCTGAGTGTTGCTGCTGCCCTTGGGCGAGGGTGAGATCGGTGTCGGCGGATGGGAGTCCTGCGCCAGCTGCAGCGAGCTGAGGCTTTTGTATCTGGAATGTAGATGTTCGCGGTGTTATTTTTTGTTTAATGGAAGATTTTGATTTTGATTATAAAAATATCACTAGATGTGCCTCCGCCCAGTCAGTTAAAGCACGGTATTGCCACATCGGAGGCGGTGGGTTCGACTCCCGGTCTAGAAAACCTATTGGACTTTCCTAGGGAATACTATTATAATAATATCTAATATAGGGAATACTATTATAATCACTTCCCAGAACATGCCCGGAAGTGGCTAATGTGGTCCACTCAATATTGTTATTGATCTTGTTATCGAATTTGGAAGTAATGTGAAGTGTCGCATCATAGGTTTTATTCCTTCCATGTCAAATTTAGGTCCATGGTACATATCCCTGGAACTTGTTCCGGCCATATCTCCGGAACCAGTTAACCGATTCCAAAAATATTTGATAGCTTTCAATAGGGCCACAATACCTACAGTTTGACCATAGACAAACAGACGTAACTCTTTGAAAAACTTGTTCTTGAAAACATAGTATCTCAAAACATATAACCTCAGTAACGACATCTATCTGGCTTCTCGCGGAAAACAAGCTTGTTCGCTAACTCGTAAACAATATTGCATAAAATTTCTATAGAATATATAGAAACGTCAAAGTGATCCGATGCCAGCGCTGCGGCGAGTAGTTCGCGGAACTGATAATATTCAAATCAACCGTTAAATGCATGAACGAAGATACACAATGAAGAGTTACGTCTGTTTGTCTGTGGTTTGACGTTGATTTTTTTTTTCAAATCGGACCAGTAATTTCCGAGAAAATGAGCCATGATGAATAGCTAATGCGTGGAAAGTGAACTTTTTTTTTAAAACGCAGTGAAACTCAAATTCGTTGATTTTTTTTAAATAACAGATTCATAAAAACTGTATAAAAAGGCTTTTTCATAATAGCAAGCCATAAACAAAGTTTTTGAACAAGTATGGGCTAAAAACTAGCATTTGTAAAAATAGGTCCAACCATCATCATTTTTTAGGTCCAACCAAGATCAGTATAGGTCCAACCAACATCATAATTCTTTGCTGAATAAAAACGTTTTATAAAATCATTTGTTCATAATATTTAACTTTTTATGTTATTATTAGGAACAAGAAAGGTAGATCTTTCCCCTAAGCATGCATTTTTCATAATTATATGTTGAATTCATACAAAAAATACGACATGAATTTTGACGTCGTGTGATACCGACCTGAATAGGTCCAACCATCATCAGTTACCCTACTAGTGGAAATATAAAGACTATTTAAAAGCACGGCTCCACCAAACTGTAAGAATCAGCTTAATTCTAAATCATGTGTGTTATGTATCGTGTTACAATATAAAGCTAAGAATGAACCAATTGCATAATACACCCTAGGAGCCATACAAAAATGTATAGGAAATTGGTAATTTTCGATGTTATAAATTATTGCGACTCCAAATAAATCAAAGAGTTAGTTACAATAATCATTAATCTCGATTTTTGCTAAATTTGAGCATATCCAATCAAGTTCTCAAAATTCATAAAAATCGTTTGTTGATCACCGATGATAACAAAAGCTTGCCCAGGAAACGCCTAAATGTATGTTTCTCTTATATCCTATTCAGTCAATCCAAACACATAAAGCAACCAACAATACAGACAAAACGGTTGCTACGACTACCATGACAAACTTGCTCTGTAACATAGCTCGATCGGAGTGGTAGAAGAATAATGATATATTGCTTGCCTGCATTCACATTTTTAGCTTTATTTCAATCACGTTCAAAATATCATGTGATTTTTTTGCAATTTTTAGTTATCATTAAACGGAGATGAACTAGCCAAAGGCTAAAAATCTCCGTAATAAGGAATAAAAAAAAAATATCATTAAATAAAAATTAAAGTAGGGTAGAGCACTACTAACTGGCCTAATCGCCCATTTTGGGCCTATCGAGCAGAAAACATCAAATAAATTCATTGTTTCAGAGTTAATAAGTCAATTGTGCGTTTGATACGATACTTTAGTTCAATAGCTACCGAACGAAGTCAATTAGAACGTGTGATATGAATGTTTAAGGTGAATTGCTGTGATATCCTTATTCTCGAAACCACTTCGAAACTTTAAGTGCACAAATATCAGCTTCTACGACACGTGCAACATTCAAATGGTTACTCCATGTTTGCTGCACTGCAGCATACATGAAGTAGAAATTTCAGGTGAAATGGGGCACCGATTTCCGAGATTTATGTAATGAAAATTCGAAGTGGAAGTGCATGTATAGCCTACGCGGCGGCCATTTGTGGACTCTACATGGAATCACCTTAAACCCACTTTTTCTCAAGAACAACCGAAGCGCTCCGATCGAATGAATTTTTATCTTTATCCGATAGGCCGCAGTGAATTCAATGGCGATTCAATGCATTAGGCATAATTTAGAATCCATAAGCCGAGTTTGGGGTCAAGAAGCAGTGTTAGATTTTTAACAATATCTCAACAATTTGTTTCTCTCACAAATCTTACAGTACGTACGGAAAGGTAAATACATTTAGAAGTCATCTGCATTCAATTTTGTGTAAAAAAAATCCACCCGAAAAATAGAGGCAAAGGGCTTCAAAATTAAATCAAAACAACAAGCCCTATATGTTGTCTGATAAATTTCAATAAGGATTTACGCGAGGGGGACGACTACGATGCAGAAAAGATTGTGTTTTGCTGTGGCTAGCTGCGCGCACGCTGAGTAGATAGAAAGAAGATTGATGACGATTCTGAAGATTTCCTGCAAAAAGATGATGAGCGATGCAAGTAGATGCGACAAATGAAAGAAGATTTTTCGAAGATTGATTCGCTAGTGTGAGATTTGTTGAGCATCTAAATTTGAGATTTAGATGTGTCGCCCCCCTCGGATTTACGCCCCTTTGTCATCTTACGACAGTACGCACTAAGATTTTGTTATTTAAGATTTTAGAATCTTCAGTATCTAAGTGCGGCGCACAATGCATTCGGATTTGATACATTCCGGGAAAGTGACAGTAAAATCTACTGTCTAACTGTCAGATTTGCTATTTGAGATTTCAGCCATAGTAAATTTAAAATGTTTGCAAATAAGCAAAAAGCTCGAGCTGTTGGACGTCAAAACATTCCAAAAGAATTATGGCCAAAATTCTAAGCTTATTTTGAAAATTATTGTAATAGAATTTGCTGAAAGTTAGTTCTGAGGTGAGTTTTAACATTATTCTGAAGCGGACTCAAAACGAATTCTGAAGAGATTTTAGAAAGAATTCTAAAATAATCCTAACTTTAAACTCATGTAGTCGCTAAGAGCGTTTCTAGGGAACTTTGAGAGGAATTCAGTGAGAACTATGACGTTTTAAAGGAATTCTGATAAACATTTCCATGGGAATCTCATGAACGGTTGCGATCAAGATCTGAGGATAATTTCAAGGGATAACTTAGACGAGAGTTTCAACCAATTATGGGGAGCAAGGGAAGGGAATGGGTGAGTAGAATTTCAATGATATTTAGGGAGAGTACTGAGGGCAAGCAAATTTTAAGGAGGCTAAGTAAAATTTCAAATCATTTCTGAGGAGTAATCTAAGATACTTAGTTCTGAGTAAAATCCTTAGTTGCATCTGAGGGATTATTGTGAGAATTGGGGCACTCCATAAAGCACGTCAACTGTATTGAGAAATTTTATTGGATAAAAAAGTAGATTTAAAAAAATACTTTCGTGTTTTTTCGGTAACGTTCCAATGAAATATTTTGAAATTGACTACTTTCATAGTTTCATTAATTCTAGTGAACGACAAAAAAAAAATCAAATTCCGGATTTTCTATTCCCTTCTCGACTCACCTTATATGGAACAGTGGGCTCTGCGGCTCGATCGCAATCTCCTTCGGTGTTCCCAATCCGTTCAACGGTGGATGTCCTGGCGTCGGTGGGCCTCCACCCATCGGACTGACGGCCACCGACGTGGGACTCTTCTGGTGGTGCACCCCGAGATTGTTTTTGAAGTATAATTTTGGCAACGTCGGCCGTTGACGCTTCTCCGGCAACTTCTTCCCGGGGATGGTTTCTATTGGCGGTGGAATCGGTTTGTGTTCCTCCCGGTGTATGATGATATGGTTGTTGTTGATTGCGTTGGCCATTGTGGCGCTGTGCTTAGTCGATTCCAGACTGTTGCCGTTCATGATACTGCTGCCGTTGGTGTGCTTGATGATGTTGGAGTAGTTGCCGGTATCGTAGTGACTGTAGTTGTTGTTGATGCTATTGCTGGTGGATTTGATGTTTTCGACTGTTTTGAGGTTATGTTGGTGAGTGGCGACGGGGATGTAGCTGTTGTTCGTCGAGGTCGGTTCCACGATCGCTTCGAACTTGTTGAGGTTTTTCGGTAACGGTGCTAGGCCACGAACGTAGTCGTAGATCTGATCAATTTCGTCGTACTCGTCGGCGACGGATCCATTCTGACTACTACTACCTAGGGGCGGTGAATACCGATTCGAATCACAGCTGTTGCTTTTCTTCAATAAGTACCCGTTGGCCGTCAGGCCGGATAGGGTCGAAGCCACCTTGCGGTTGCTGGTTTGCTTGGCCGTTTCTTTCTTGTCTTTCTCGCCTAGCTTGAGGTCGATGATCTGTAGCCGATCACGGGCGTCTACCAGTAGACGTTGCGCCTTGTCCAGGAAACGAGAATACTCGATAAAGTGATCCAGTTGGTCCATGTTTTTCGCTCTTTGGATCTTTATCTTGGCGTTTAGAGGGACCGAGATCAAATCCATGTCTTTCTGGAGGGGCAACGCAAATATCCGATCCACTTCAACGCAACCCAACAGGCGCAGTTCCGGTACGAATGGTTGCTTCAGTCCTTTGGGTGCCGTACCGTGGACTAATCTGTAGAATTATAAAAGTGATTAAAATGCTGTTAAAAAAAATAAGTGAAGATCAACCTACCTAACAGTTACTGGCATTCGTTTCTGCAACAGATTGTTGACTGTATGTACACCGCTAATACTATCCTCTTTAGCAATAGGTGAGAATTTGGCTTTGGCTTCTAATGGCAAATTGACGATTTCGTCCTTGGACGTCTTGCACTGCAGATACTTGCCGTTGTCTGAGATCGTGGTGAGAATTTCGCCGGCATGCAGCGATTTACTGTTGTGATTGCAGCGGACCGTCTCACGGACCAGCACCCGGAAGTTCCGTCGTTTCGACAGCTCCAGGACACTCTCTATGCAACGCGTCGATCGACCATCTTCGCTGAGGAGTTCAAAGAACCCGGGGTAAGTTTCGGGAATAAGGACCTTCGGACCGACGTTGGTACTCTTGCGACCCTCCTTGATCTTGATGGGTTGGGCTAGGATTTGGTACTTTTTGCCGGCATTTAAAAACAGGGCTGTACTCTGCAGCGAAGGGTTTGAGAGGGTTGGCACGCCCAGATTGTAGTACTGGCCTTTGACGATCTTCCCGACGGCGGGTAGATCGGTTTTGGCGAAATCTTTCAGATAGACTGGTTGCGTATCGCCGAAGCGGGATGCAGCCAGTATGATCTGGCCATCCGTAGCGGCCATCGTGGCGTTGGAATTGGCGGTGTTGGATCCTTCTGGGGACAGGGAATGGCTGGGATGGCTATCTTGATGGTGAACAACTTGCGTCGTTCGACGGCGGATACGGAGGAAGTAGTTTGCGATCTGCTGGCTGAAGCTCGCCGCTTGTGGCACTATCACATTTTCGGTCGGTTTCTGCGGGGGTGGCGGCGATGGCGGCGGTAAGCGCGTATGGTCCGGAGTAACTGTCTCGTCGTGCTGCGACACGGTGCCGAAGCGCAGCGGGAACCGTCCGGGGGACAGGGTGGATCGGTGATGGTGGCCGGGTTGGTACGGTGAATGGTGGAAGCGAACAGGGTGAGCTGGGTTGATCGTGGTGGAAGCTAGCGGTTCAAGCTGCTGGCATTGTCTGAAAATGGGAGGGAAATTCGAAATTGGTTAGAGTTTTTATAATTATTTTTTTTTTATTAGAAATACGAAATAAATAAATGGACACATTTTGTGGTTCCAGATCGCAAGCTAAGTGTAATTTTACGATCCGGGACTTAAACAAATTCCATGATCCTTGAATTTTGTCAATTTTGTAATTTTACGGTATTTTGAAGATTGGTAAATATTTAGCATGATTAGGCTATTAGGCTATTTTGCATCATCGTTTCTGATGAAATTTCAACCACATGTACAGTACAGTACAATCAATGAAAAGTTCCACCAGCTGGAGTGCGAATTGAACCTTCACTTCTTGGCGCTCACAAGATGTCAGAATGATTGATGACGCCACCGAACATTATGCGCAGAACAAAATAAATAATTAGAAATCAGAATTTATTATTCTTAGGAGATTTTTCCTTCTCATAAACTGCCTATAATCGCATATCAGTCCCACATGGTTTTTCGTTAATTTTAAGATAACTATGTTATCCACTATCAATTGGCATCTACTTTCATATAAATGATAAAACTACGGACTTTGATCATGAAAAATGTGAAAACAACATCAAGTCAGTTTGTCCCATCAAACAAAGTAATCGCATATCAGTCCCATTCTGAAATTATATCGCCCAGAGGTTAAGTTACAGCTATGCTTTTTGTATTGCCATATTTTCGCAGATATAACAAAGCATGCAAGCTTCATTGTAACTGGTTTACCATTTAATTTACCTTAATTTTTCAAATATTTACATGAGAATTGCACTTCGTTACTTCAACTGCCATTTTCTCAATGTCTACTTTTTCCATATGGGACTGATATGGGATTATAGGCAGTAAACATGACCAGTTCTTTCAAATTTAAATATTCTCGAAATAATTGAATGGAGTTGGAAAATATTTGTGGATAAGGATTCCAAAGTATGGCAAGAAATAAAAATTTAATTCTCGAGCAACATGTGAAAAGGGCTTATGTGCGAAATATCAGGGGATTCCCTATATATGAGCGTTATTGCCAGATCAGCTGTAATTACACAAAGAATCAATAGACGATGCTTGGGGCTAGCAATTATCCTCAATGTGTAAAAACTGGGGACCTCAAACTAGGCGATACTAGCGCCAGCCGCGCCAGAACGCAGGTCAAGAGAGGAATGGGTAGGAACTAGGGGCATCCCACTCTAAACTTTAGTTCCAATATTTATTAAATATTTTTAAATATCTCGTAAGTATCGCTAAATATGTTTAAGTATTTTGTTTCTAGGTTTTATTTTCATCGTAGTAACGTTTGATTATGACCGGTTGCTAGTGCTGTGTTTGTTGTTTTTTGCTCCATCAGTTCGATAATTTTAGTCGCGTGATCTGATCATTTTTTAAAGTATAAAATTAGTTTATTTGAAATGAAGTGTGAATTCATTGTAAGGGGTAAGTATTTCAAATCTGCCTACGAAAGGATATAACAAAATGTATGTTTTTCAGTGATCTAAAATGTAAAAATGAAGTAAACCAAGTCTTTTTGATCCGTTTTCTCTAACATCAGAATCCTAGAAGACGATTGTTTAACCAAAGAGCTTTAAATGTGAACAGTCCCCTACAATTAACGAACATTTAATTACTGTACAGCCAGTCTAGCGTGTTCATCATATGGAAGTGTTTCATATTTGTGGAAGAATGTATGTTGTTGTTGACTGTATATATTATGAAATAAAAGCTGAACACAACGAAACTGTTTATTCTCAAGACTACTAAACATTTAACAGATTAATCATAGTTTACCGAACCACCGAATCTATGAATAACAATAATTTGAAAATAACAATATGGTTTTTTAAACGATAAAATGAAACATGGAAAATGGAGCATTTTTGTAAGGTTATCGTTCAGCTCATTAACCCATTTAATGAGTGCGTCACCAATATCGCCACATTTTTTTATAATCTGTGATTAAAATCATTTTAACTATCCACTTGAAACTAGTTCAAGCCTCTAAGGGAGCATCCATTAAGTACGTCACGGTCTGGGGGGGGGGGGGGGTTACAAATGTGTGACAAGCAATGCATTAGGTAGTGTAACAAAGTGACGAATGGGAAGGGGAAGTACATTTTCTCTATTTTTTGCGAGGAGTGCTTAATGCATGCTTTCTAATTCAATGGTTCCAATACTATTGGTATTTTTTAGGGTGAAATAATAGATTTTCTTTAAAAGAAACCTTTAGGACCATAATGTCCACATGGGAATGTTCAAAGTAAGCGTCTGTAGAAAAATATCAAGTGAATTGAATTATGATAGTCAATTTTAATAAGTTCTAAATTTTGTTCTGAACCGATAATATTTGAACGTGTCTAACTTGGTGCCCTTTATGAGCTTCAAGTAGAAGGGCATCGTATGGGGGGAAATCCATGGGAATGTTGTTCATTTCTGCGGCCCATAATGCTACGGAAGCCATGAGACTCGGCTCTCCGGATGCCACAAGTTCCGATACCAGCTCCCATCAGCTTAAATGTTCGTAGTCATTATCCAAGGATCAAGATCCTAGTGGGTGAAAACTATACTTATAACAAGATAGTCATTTCCAGATCTGTATTTTGAACGATACATTTAACCGAGCAATAGTCGAAAGGTTCCAATGGCCATCAGTATAGCTTCCTCCTGGGACTGAATCAAAGAGTCACGTACGATACGGTCAGTGGCGTGTAGTTAATTCTATTAATATTGAAACTCACAACTGTTTGATACCGGGACTTCTGCGCCGTCTCTGAAGGGGACGTGTCTACATCCCTGACTGCTGGTCTAAGCCTGTTGGCAGTTGTTGGGGTGGGCATCAATCTCGGCCTACGAAAGGCACACTATCACCGCCTTATATGCTCTTCACACACTACCTTCCAAAAGTGCACTCTAACAACGTGCCTCACGTCTCTGAACCCCATCCAAATTTCACCTGATACACTCTGTTCCACAGCTCCAGACTCACTGACCTTCTCTCCTCTTAATCATAGCTCATCCACCACCCTTTTGTTATGCGTTTTGCTCTATCCGCTGTTCCATCGTGGCCCTCTTCATTATGGGACACTGAACACTGTTTCTTTTCCTATCGTCTCACAATTCTACGCAACGAAAAACTGTTACCCGATCGGTAACAATCAGCGTTGCCAGATTGTTTTAAAGCTTATCGGTATCAAATGTATTACAAAATCGGTATTTATCGGTATTTACTATTTATTTAATTTTATATTTTTGCCGTTTTTGAAAGCAAAAATTTTAACGATTGTGATTGTGAATAGAATTCGAACAAAAAAACCTGGGGCTTATGGTCGAACTTCCAAAAGAAGACGAAAGAAATTTCTGGGAGAATTAATTGAACTTCCTTGAGAAGACGAAATAAACTTCCTGGAGACGCTGGCAGAAACTTCCTAAGGTAGATTGGAAGAAACATCTGAAAAAAGTCGGAAGGCTTACGGAACAGTCGAAAGAAACAAGGACATAATTCCAGAAGAAAGAAATTCCCTCGGAGATTCCTGGGGGATGTTCTAATGATCCAGAAAATTTTCCTGATATTCAAAAAAACATCCCTGAAGACTCCTAAATTTCCCTGAAGTTTTCTCAACATTCATGAAATGCACTTAGGAATATTCCATAATTGCTCGAAATTCCTTAAAAGTTCTTGTAATTTACCTGAAATTAGGGGCTGTTTCGGAGTTCTCTGGTCATCCTCGAAGCGCTCGGAGCTTCCCTGATTATAATAAAACTAACGGAATATCTCTAATCATTTTAGAAGATCTCTGGACTTTCTTGAAGATTACGAAATATCTTAAGATCTCTCGCAATTTTCTTGAATTTATTGTAACATTAGCATTGAAGTTCTCTGATCTTCCCGTTTTTTTTTTAATTTTTAAAAGTTATCGACACTGCCATTAAAAAGCATAGAACTTCCCATAAAATGTTCTCACAATGATATAATGTTCATGTAACTTCCCTCACGTTTCCTAAAGTTGCATGGACATTGCTGAAGTTTTCGGAAATTGCCTGAGTTTCTCAGAATTTCATTGACATTAATTGAGCTGTCCTGATGTTCTCTGAGCTTCACTAAAGTTCAAACCATTAAATTTCCCTGAAGTTCTTTAGACTTGCGAAGATTCCAAAAGATTTATGATGTTTCCTTAAGTTCACTGGATTTCGCTGGACTTTTCTGAAATTTCCGGGTTTTCGAATTGTAACTGAAGTTTTTGAAACTGTCTTTAATTTATCGAAACTAACACAAAAGTCTGGACTTTTCTGAAGTTTCAGAACTTCTTAAATGTGTTTGCAGCTAGTGTGGATCCGCAATAAAAATTTGATAGCAGCCTTGAAGCTCCGGAAATGTTAAAAAACTGAGGGGAGAAAGGAAGCTTAAAAATGAATAAAAACTTCCGGAAGTTAAATAATGTTTAAAATACATTTCTCGATTGCCTAGGAAAACCGGAAAGAGCCATCGACTGTTTCTCGATTGATGGGTAGGCAAAAACGGTGGGAAATGCACACATTAGTCGAAAGAGTATCAAGCATAAGGCATCTTTAGAGATGATTGTTTAGAATGTTGAATGCTCAAAAAATATGAGGTATTCAAAAAGATCCAAGTCTATCACAAAAATTTTCTCCAAAATTCGAGCGCGGGCAGGCAGTAATAATTTTGATTACTAAAAAAAATGTTTAAATCGGTATAAAATCTTAAAAATCGGTATGCTCAGCAAGCAGCAGTCAAATGAAAGCAGTCAATAAAGTATCCCAAACTTGATCAAGCGTGCGACCTATTTTTTTCTAAACGTTCCGCCCAATATCTCCCTTGGTTTGTTTTTTCCGTCGATCTTGTTTTCCGTGCTGAGCACCAATGCTACCGACGTGCCAGGAAGGCAGCTCCCACACCTGGACCCTACCTATCGACCCATCAACTCATGAACCGGGGACCAACGGCTTTACTTCCCATCCGAAGGAAGGCGTGATCA